AGAAAGAAAGAAAGAAAGAAAGAAAGAAAGAAAGAAAGAAAGAAAGAGAAAGAAAGGAAGGAAGGAAGAAAGAAAGGAAGAAACGAAGGGAGGGAGGAAGGAAGAAAAACTGTTAAGCAAAGTCAGCTGCCAGTAATTTTTCTGATGGTGTAACAAAAAAAAGTTAACCTCTGAGTTTCATCACATATTCTCCAAGGTCTTCTCAACTGGTCATTACAATCACTGAGAGCTCCACTTTGTTTCATTGCTGATTCCCTTTCTAGTGTTGTAGTTATTATGATACACACACACACACACACACACACACATTATGATATATTGTTCCCATTTTTTTCTGAGGTACTGATTTTTTACAAATGCAATAAAGTTATATTACATTCATATACCACAATTTGTCCGGCTGTTATCTAATCAGCTGACGCTCACTTTGTTTAAGTTTGATGTAAGGGAAACTTGGGTGGCACCATAGTGGATTGAGTGCCAGGTCTGGAGTCAGGAAGATTCATTTTCAAATCTGGTATCAGACACTTACTTACTAGTTCTGGGCAAGTCACTTAACCCTGTTTGCCTCGGTTTCCTCATCTGTAAAATGATCTGGAGAAGGAAATGGCAAACCCCTCCAGTATCCCTGCCAAGAAAACCCCAAACAGGGTCTCCAAGAGTCAGACACGACTGAAACAACTGAACAGCAACAACGAAGGAAAACTGTCCCAAGTGGCACGAGTTGCCTTGGGAGGTGGGAGATCCCCCTTATTGCAAATGTCTAAGCAGAAGCTGGATTGGCATGGGGCAGTACCAGGTAGAAAGGATTCTCGTTCAAGTATGGGTTACGGGACACAGCCTCCTCCGGTCCTCCAACTCTGGGATTCTGCAAAGTGAGCAGGCGCCACCTAGTGGCAATACTGGCTACATGCACTCAATGTACAGAAAATAGTACCCGAACATCCCCAGGTTATTTTTTAGCCATTTATGACCTCTGTCTGAGATAAATCATGATTTACGCCAAAGAGAGGTATATGTGTGTAGAATTCAGGCACCTTATCAATCAATCAACAAAAAATTTAACAAGTATTAAATGCCTACTGTGCTAGGCACAGTGCTAAGCACTAGGGATACAAGTAAAAAGAAAGCATTTCCACTCACAATAAGCTTACATTGAAACATATACAGCATAAATAGAAAGTAAATAAATACAAAGTAGTTTACCACAAGTTTGTTTGGGAGGATGGACACCGGCAGTTGGGAGGATCAGGAAAGGCTAAAGATGCAGAGGATAGTTCTTGGACTGCATGTTAAAGGGAAAGATTGCTTTGTAAGGCAGAGATAAGGAGCATGTGGATTCCAGGCAAGGGGGCAGCCGGTACAAAGATGTGGAGATCATCTGTGTGAGAAGCAGGATGGTCTGGCTGGATTACTGAGTGCAAGAGGTCAATGATGTCCAATGAGGCCAGAAAGAGAGGCTGGGGCCAGGGTGTGAACGACTTTAAAAACTAAACAAGGGGCAGCTAGGTGATGAAGTGAATAGAGCTCTGTCCTTGGAGTCAGGAGGACATGAGTTCAAATCCAGCCCCAGACATATGACACTTGCTAGCTGTGTGACCCTGGGCGAATCACTCAGCCCTGATTGCCTCACCAAAAAAAAAAAAAAAAAAAAAAAAGCTAAACAGAAGTTTGCATTTGATCTTCAAGGTAAATAGGGAGACATTGGTTTTGGTTGAATTAGTCATGTGGTCAGATCAGCACTTAAGGAAAATTACTTAGCCCATAGCGATGGGTTAGAGGGGAAGAGACAAGACAGGGAGGCCAATTAGGAGGCTGTGGCAGTAATCTAGGTGAGAGATGATGATGGGGCTTTGGACTAAGGTGGTGGCTGTGTGAGTAGGAAGAAGTCAGCAGCAAGAGATATTGTGAAGTTAGAAACAACAAGGTTTGGCAGATAATTGGAATGAAGGAAAGTGAGGAGTCCTCTGAAAGGAGACACTAGAAGGATGGTGGTGTCTTTGATTACATAGGGAAGTTTGGACGAGGGTTTTAGAGGGAAAGAAGGTAAGTTCAATGTTAGACCCTGGATAGAAAGACCTGGATTCCAATCTGCATCTAGCATTTACTCACTGTGAGACCCTAGGTAAGTCATTCACCTTTTCTCAGCCTCAAGAGACTCCTTAAGTCTAAATCAGAGCTCTAAAAAAGTATTTAGTGCAACCTACCCATTTTACAGACTGAGAAACAGGTCCAGTGCATTAATTGCCCAGAGTCACATTGGTAGTATCAGAGGCAGGTTTGGATCCTGCCTGGGCTGTTTCCCTTGGACCACACCTGCCAAATCCCAAGTCCTCAGAGTATCAACTGCTTGTGTAAACTTGAAGAGGGTTGATGTGATCAGAGAAAACATTTATTCATACAATCGGTCATCCTTCTGAGTGATGCAATCCATTCCTTTCCTCTTGCAATTATATTGGGAATCACAGATTTAGAGCTTGAAAGGGACTTTAGAGATCATTCAATCTAACTCCCTCATTTTACGTGAAGGGAAAGCTCACAGGAGGCTCACAGGAAGTGAGAGGCAGAGTCAAAATACAAACCCAGCTCTTCTGGCTCCAGAACCAGCAATCTTTCCACTGTACCTCCTCTCAGTCCCCCCAATCTTACCTTACAATTCTCTGTGACCTTCTTGATCTCTGAATCACAGGCAAGCAATAAAGGTAGAGGGACGTCTATCAGGGAAAGAATGGGGGCTCCCCCAACTTAGGAGACTTTTCTGTTCACGGTCTCATGACACACGATGCTTTCTGTTCTAGAGTGTCCCTCAGGCTAGATTAGACCACTAGAGGGCAGTGGGAAGACCAGGAGGATAGAGAGCATGGGGCGTCCCAACAGGAGGCTGCTTTCTTTGTCTTCTTTCTCTGGAGCCTAATGCAGTGCCTAGCACTTAATAGATGCTTGTTAATTAATTGATTGAGTGATCTTCATCCAGGGCTCTAAACCTAGCTAGCCGTCAGATCATAGCTTAAGAAATGGCTCAGGGGTCAGAGGAAATGGGTTCAAATTCGAACTCATTTAACCTCTGCTGGCCACAGTTTCCTCATCTGTAAAATGAGGGAATTGGACAAGATGGCTTCTGTGATCCATCTCTAGACTTTTGATCCTGCGAAACCTTCCATTTTATAAATGAGAAAGCCTAGGTCTTAAGTGACCTGCCCCAGGTCACATATGTTTTAAGTGTCAGGGCTTTAGAGTGGAGGGAAAGCTGGACATGGAGTCAGGAAGACTTGAATTCAGATCCCAACTCTGATCCTTACTGGTTGTAACTTACTAGTTGTGTGATCTGGGGTAAGTCACTTCATCCTTGGAGCCTCAGTTCTCTCATGTTTGGAGTGAGAGAGATTGAAAGGATGATTTCTAAGGACCCTTCCAGCTCGAGGGTCTGACCCCAGCATCCTTTATACCACACTCTCTTGTGGCAGAGTTGAGCCTAGAAGAAGCCCAGCCTTTGAAGGGGACCCTAAGGGGATCTAGCCCACTCTTTATTCCAACAAGAATCTCCTCTCCAAGGCAAAGGCAGTGGCGCAGAGAAGAAAGAAGATAGTCTGGGGTCTGAGAGTGTGGCCCTGGACTTTGTTTTGTGTATATTTAAAAAATGTTATTATGAACTTAATAAACACCAAATAAAATGCCCATTTCCATATAAGTAAAACTTGCTTTTCATTTTAAGTTTATAATAAGTTCAATATATAACTTTAAAAGATGTCCTATTGGTAATTCTTTCTGACATTCCTTCTATTCTGTCCATTTTTTTCAATGCTTCATTAATTCCCTTTCTTTCCTCCTTTTTTTCCCCCTGCCTTTCCCCTACCCCTTTTCCCACAAATCTGGCCTTACTTACTAACTGTGGGACCCTAGGAAAATCACTTAACTTCATCTGCCCCAGTTTCCTCAACTATAAAATGGAGATCTTAATAACACCTACCTCACAGGGTTGTATTATGAGCATCAACTGAAATAATATTTGTGAAGTGCTTAGTACAGTACCAGGCACATAGCAGGTGCTCAATAAAGGCTTGCTCCCTTTCCCCACCCCATCTACACTTAAAAAGAAAAAAAAAAGAAAGAAAAACCTTTGTACACAGTCAAGCAAAATAAATTCCCACATTAACCATGTCCAAATATGTATTTCTTTTTCTGGTGAGGCAATTGGAGTTAAGTGACTTGCCCATGGTCACACAGCTAGTAAGTGTCAAGTGTCTGAGGCTAGATTTGAACTCAGATCTTCCTGACTCCAGGGCCAGTGCTCTATCCACTGTTCTACCTAGCTGCGCTCAAAAATGTATTGCTCATTCTGCACCTTGAGTCCACTGCTTTTCAATCAAGCAGTGGATAGCATCTCTTTTTTTAATTAAAAAATTTTTTTAAATGAAAAAAATTTTCAAAACGAATTTCTTTCTCTTCCTCTCCCCTTCTCCATTGAGAGTTTTTTTTTTAAAGAAAAATATGCTGTTACAAGCATGTATAGTCAAGAAAAGCAAATTCCTGAATTACAATGTCCAAAAAAATGCCTCATCTGTACTATGTGTCCATTCCTTTCTGTCCTGAACAGTAGCCTGTTTCATCAGGGGTCCTCTAGAATTATGACTGGTCATTGTGTCGATCAGGATTCTCCGGTCTTTTAAAGCTTTGTTTATGTAATACTGTTCCCATTGCAAATATTTGCTCTTCTGGTTCTTCTCACCTCACCCAGCATCAGTTTCTGTAAGTCCTCCCAGATTTTTCTGAAACTTTCCCCTTCATCACTTTTTAATAGCACACATTCATAGATCCATATCGTAACTTATTCAGTCATTTTCTGACTAATAAGCATTTCCTCACTTTCCAATTCTTAGTCACTATAAACAAAGCTGTTGTAAATACTTTTGTATGAATGGGTCCTTTTCCTAATTCTTTGATCTCCTTGGAGTATAGACCTAATAGTGGTATTGCTGGGCCAAAGAGTATATATGCACAGTTTAATAACTTTTGGGACATAGTTCCAAATTATTTTCCAGAATGGTGGCTCCAGTTCACAGCTCTATCAACAGGGTAATAATGGGCCTGTTTTCCCACAGCATCCCCAGATTTTATCATTTCTCTCTCTCTTTTTTTTTTTTTTGGTCAACTTTGCAAGTCTGTTGAATGTGGAACCTCAGAATTGTTCTAATTTTAATTTCTCTAATTATTAATGATGTAGATCCTTTTTCACATAACTATTGGTACCATGAATTTCCTTCTCTGAAAACTGCCTATTCATATCCTTTGACCATTTATCTATTGGGAAATGGTCTTACTCTCATAAATTTGAATCAGAGAACCTTGCTATAAAGATTTTTTTTTCCATTTACCTGATTCTCTTCTAATTTTAGATGCATTGGTTTTGTTTGTGAGTGCTGAGACATTTCTACCGGGATGTGGCCTCTGTGTAGCTACAGCTTTTTTAGAGCCACAGGTGAGAGTTGAGTGCCAGGTGGACATCAAAGATGGAGGAACAGCCCTCCCACCAGAGGTGCTAGTCCTCCCTGAACATTCCATATTAGTCATGTTGTGAAAGAAAACACAAACAAACACACACAAAAAAAAGAAAAGTGTAAAAAAACCAACAACCCTGTTTTGCTTAAAGCGAATCCTTCCTTTAATCTACTCTATCTCTTTTTCTACCCTTTCCCTTTTCACCTTTCCCTCCTGTTGAGTGTACTGTATTTCTGTACCCAACTTTTTGTGTGTACTATTCCCTCCTTTGACCATTTCATATGAGAGTAAGATTCAAGTGTTTCTCGTTATCCATACACCTCAGTCTTGTTTATATAGACTTCTACTTGTCCTCCCCAATTATATGAGACAATTATTCCTATCATTCCTCACCCCACTCCACCCCCACCTCACCCCTGCTATATTTCTCTTCCTTTCCTTTTCCATTTTTCTTTTAAGATCATGAAAACATAACAGAACTATGCCCACACCCTCTATCTAATTAGAATCTCTCTGTGACCCCTGCTGATGAGAGAGTTCTGGGGGGATACATCTATACTCTCACCATATCACAGTGTAAACAGTTTATCCCTTATGATTGCTCGCTCATTTTTTTCCTCCTGATTCTCGTGACTCCTTTGTTTGAATTTTAAAGTTTCTATGTGAAGGAAAGGGAAGAGAAGGGAAGGGAAGGGAAAGATATGGGAGGAGTCAGAGAGGCAGGGGAAACAAGCTCTGACTCTTAGTGCCTTTCAGAAGTGGGGAAGGTGCTGCCACCCGTGCAGAAGTCTCCATGCTAGCTTTGTTGGGCTTGCTGACCTGCTGCTTCCGCTCAGTGTCCTGAGCCAGATCACAGGGGATTATGTCTTAAATAGCATGGAAAGTTTGGGAGTGCTCCGTGGATTCCAATACAATTGTCTTGAATGGAGAACATAGCTTCCTGAAGAAGCAGCTTGCCCACCAATGGCCTGGAGCATTTCGTAGTGGCATTGTTTAATGTAATCAGCCCTGAATCTAGAGTCTGAGGATCTGGTTTGAATCCTTTCTCTGCTACTTGGTAGCTGTGGGACATGGGACCAGTTACTGCCCCTCTCTGGGGTTGGGGGTTTCCTCCTTTGTGAAATGAGAAGTTTAGATTCCCAGCTACACATTCTTGGAGTCTCTCATGGCTTCTGAGCTCCTTACCCTTCATTTGAAGGGCTGCTATTAGAATGAAGGAAGGTTTGAGAAGTGGGATGGATCCACCTGAAATTCTAAATAACATCCAGACCAGTGCCTTCAGGCACTACCCAACCAATTTCTTTTCTCTAAGTGAAATCATCTCATTGACTCCCTCAAAAAAAAAAAAAGAGAAAAATTAAAAATAACAGGGTGGTGTGTGATGGACTGTTATTGTACATACAATAGGTATCGTCTCCCTGCAATTAAACACACCTAAATTAAAAGTTAGAGGAATTCACCTGAGATCATAAAAGTGTTTTTTTATTCCCTGATTTCCTTTAATTAGAAGCCAGAAGCAGGAGAGTCAAGTAGCAAAGGCATCATTCAAGTGAGGTGGGGAGGTACCAGGATTTTAAAATTCCCTGAAGCAGAATTCATTCATTCATTCATTCATCTCTACATTCATTCAATCATTCATTCAGCCATTCAAAAAACCATAGATTTAGAGATGGAAGGTGCCCAAGAAGGCTCAAAAGGTACCACCCCACACTTATCGGATTGTCTAATATGACAGAAAAGGAAAATGACAAATGTTGTAGGGGATGTGGGAAAATTGGGACACTAATGCATTGTTGGTGGAGTTGTGAACTGATTCAACCATTCTGGAGAGCAATTTGGAACTATGCCCAAAGAGCAATCAGACTCTGCATACTCTTTGACCCAGCAATACCACTACTAGGACTATATCTCAAAAATATCACATAAAAAGGGAAAGAACTTATATGTACAAAAATATGTATAGCAGTTCTTTTCATAGCATCATAGAATTGGAAATTGAGGGGAAATTGAGGCTGAACAAGTTGTGGTATATGATTGTGATGGAATGTTATTATGCTATAAGAAATGATAAGCAAGAGACTCTCAGGAAAAAAATCTGGAAAGAGTTACATGAACTGATGCAAAATGAGATGAACAGAACTGGGAAAATATTGTACATAGTAATAGCAATATTATATGATGATCAACTGTGAATAACTTAGCTATTCTCAGTAGCACAATGATTCAAGACATTTCTGAAGGACTTTTGATGAAAAATGCTATTCACTTCCAGAGAAAGAACTGATGGAATCTGAATGCAAACTGAAGCATACCCTTTTTTACTTTCTTTCTTTTTCTTCTTTTTTGTCTGTATTTTCTTTCACAATGTGACTAATACGGAAATATGTTTTGCATGATTACACATGTATAGCCTGTAGCAAATTGCTTGCCTTCTCAATGAAGGAGGAGGGGAGGGAGAGAGAGAGTTTGGAACTCAAATTTAAAAAAAAAAAACAATGAATGTTTAAATTGTTTTTGTAATTGTTTTTACACGTAATTGGAGAAAAATAAAATGCTAAATGAATAAAACAGAAGTCTAGGCTCATGTATTGAGAACTCACAGAGACTTCAGAAGCTAATCTGACCCCCTCTTTTTTTTTAATAGATGAGGAAACTGAGGCTTAACAGATGTTAAGTGATTTGTCTAAGATTATCCAAACAGAAACTGGAAGAGCTGAGATTAGAACCCATATCCTCTCATACCAATCTATCATTCCTTCTATTATGCTTTCTCCATTCCAATACTCTGAACCACTGAACAAACAAGAGATGTGAACTGAGAAACATAGGTGGGGAAGGACAGGGACATGAAGAATTCAGAGAAGCATGAGAAGACATATGAACTGATGCAGACTGGAATAAGCAGAACCAGAAAAACCATATAAACTGTGACTATGACAATACAAACAGGAAAGGGGTTCGGGAGAAAGATAAACTGAATGCTGCAGGATTGTAATGACAAACTTGGAACCAAGAAAACATATCTTCCTCTCTTCTTTGCAAAAGTGGTAGATTATATTCTAAGCTCCCTCCTAGCACTAACATTCTGTGTTCTAAGGTCCCTTCTAGCTCTGACATCCTGTGTTCTATGGTCCTTTCCAGTTATGACATTCTATGTTCTAAGGCCCCTCCTAGCTTTAACATTCTGTGTTCTAAGGGCTCTGCCAGATGACATTCTCTATTCTAAGGCCCCTCCCAGTCCTGACATTCCATGTTGTAAGACCTTCCCAGGTCTGATCTTCTGTGTCCTAAGCCCCTCTCCAGATTCTGACATTCTGTATTCTGGGGCCCCTCCTGGCTCTAACATTTCATGTTCTAAAGCTCCCTCCTTATTTTCATTTTTAATAATTCATTCTATTTAACTGAGTTAGAAATGTCCTTGGGTTGAAGGCTCTTAAATTTCCAAGATGTGTTATTTTAGTACCTTGAAGAATTTTGAAGAACACTTTATAAACTTAATAGTTTATAGACCTTGGACAGCTCACTTATCTAGACGGTTTTCTTTTTGTCACATCTAACATAGTGCCTGGTTGTCCCCATGCCTGGAACACTTTCCCTCCTCTGCTCTACCTACAGACCTACTTCCTTTAAATTTCAACTAAAATTTCACCGTCTACAAAAAGTCTTTTCCAACACCTCTTAATTCAAATGACTTCTCTCTTTTAATTATTTCCCGTTTATCCTGTATACAGTTTGTTTGTACATAGTTGTTTGCCTGTTGTCTCTTCCATTAGCCTATGATCAAGGCAGGGCTGTCTTTTGCCTTTCTTTGTATCCCCAACACTTAGCACCATGCCTGACATGTAATAGGTGCTTAAATCCTTGTTGACTGACTGGCGTGGCACTTAATAAGCGTTTGTTGACTTGACTTGAATTGCAGGGTAGGGGAGCTGGAGCAAATCCTTATTAGCTTTGTGATCTAGGACAAGCCGTGTCATTTCTCTGCGCCTCATGTTGCTAAACATTTTCTGAGAATATATTACAATCTTTCAATGGATTAGGCTTCTGTGATTTTTTCAAAAGATAGGTTCGCCAGGGATGTGGTAGCACAAAAGTATTCCAAGGAATTTGAACCCCTTTCAGTGGTGCCCATGTAACCAGCCTCCAGGACTCTTTTCCAGTGACAAAACTTTCTCTTGTCTCCAGCCCAGACCCCACATGCACACTCCCACCTTTCAATAGAAAAGCATTAGACCAAAGTTGCTAGATGTTGCAGTGGATAGAGCACCAGACCTGGAGTCAGGAGGATATGAGTTCAAATCTGGCCTCAGACACTTACTTGCTGTGTGACCCTGGGAAAATCACTTAACCCTGATTGCCAAAAACATTTTAAAAAAGAAAAGTACTAGACTCACAATTGAACTTGTGGTTCTTTAGCAATTTTCATTCTTACTATTAAATGAGAGACACCCAAGGTCTCTCAGACCTCTAAATCTATGCATAGAAGTTAGGGATTTTTAAGGTATGATGATGAGCATGCTAGATTTAGAATCAGAGACCTGAATGTGAATCCCAGTTCTGCTACTTACAACTCTGTGACCCTGCAAGTCAATTCCCTTCCCTGGGTCTCAGTTTTCTAGTCTGTAAAACGGACTAGATAATCTATACAATTCCTTCCAACTGAAATATATGATATGGTCCTAGCTGTGTGAGCCTGAGCAAGTCACTCCCTTGTTCCAGGCCTCAGTCTTCCTATCTGCAGATAGGAAGCCCTCAATCCGTGTTCCTAGGATCACCGAGCTTCTCCTGGGTATCACTAGCTCCTGTTAAATCTGGGGTGTTCATCTGTGGGAGAAAGCTGCCAGGTCAGTGGCCTTGTGTAATGCATTTATTTTGCTGCTGTCTACACAGAGCCCCCCACCTCCACCCAGCCAACACAAGTTAAATATCTGCCTGGAATATTCAGAGGCAGGAGGAATTTAGGATGGAGATCAGGACTAGACCTGTGACTTCATTAGGATAGAGAACTCCCAGGTGAGGAAAAGCCCTCCACCAAAGCATATTGGCATCTTTCCTGAAATTTATAGTCTTTAGAGGGTCAGAGTATCAGAAGTCGGGCTCAAATCTCAAGCCTTCCTGACTTCCAGAGCAATTATCTATCGACTATTTTGTGCTGCCTTAGCTCAAGGCAAATATTCTCATGCCCCTGGGCCTCACTGTTATTAAGGAAGATGCTGGCTAACACTTTCTCTTTCTTACTTGGAGGTCCTCCCCCAAGCCAAAGGAGCTTCTAGTTTCATCCAGGAGTCTCCAAGTTGGAAGGAAATATGCAGCATCTACCTGGCTTGATCCGTATGGGAACAAGAATCCCTTCTAAAATATCTTTGATTGATCCACCAGTCATGTCCTCACCCAGCTTGAACTAAATAACACACATTTTATTGACTTAGACTGAAAAAAGTAGAATCTTTTATGCACAATAGAATTGGACTCCTGCCTTCAGTTTCTCAATGAAATTTACAGCTTTGATGAAAACCCCAAAGGAAACTCACAACATTGATGAAAGCTTCAATTCAGCCGAAAGTAAACCTTTCCCCCTCCCCACTCTCCTATGACTAGAAGGGAGTATGAATAGGAGCCCTGAGAATTCGAACCCTAAGCAGGACAGAACAGACCTGTAGAGCGTAATAATGAAAAGAGTCTAAATAAACAAGTATGTCCAAAGAATTGCTGTTTTTCCTTAAGGGGGATTGGGGTTAAAAAAAAAACAAAACAAAACAACAAGTGCACAAAATATCTCCTTTGGCTCTGCCAAGAAGCCCCCAAAGTCCCTCCTGCCTGCATGGAGGCTCCTAAATCATCTGGCTGAGGGCTGTTTCCAAAGAGCGGTGGGGTGAGAAGCTGGCCAGCTTGGGCTCCAGGTCTGAGCAGCGCTAGCAACCTCCCAATTTCTAGGCTTCACAAATAGGTCCTCATCTTGCTTCAAAGGGAGGGGAAGCAGACAGCTGCAGCTTGGGTTCCTGGGATCTTAAAAAAATGAATTATCCTTGTTGGACCCAAACTTTAGTCCATATCCTCTAAAGTCCACCCCACTCAAAAACCACAGCACCAGCCAGTGGTGGCATCTTCCTCGGGCCAGCCTCACCTCCATTATTCACCCCACACACCTCCATGGACCAGTCCCACCGAAGTAGGAATCCCCATTCCCAGGGCAAAGTCCCCTCCCCTCAACTCATCAACTACAAACCCAAGTCAGAAACCCAACTTGTTACCCTTTCTGCTTTTTTAACAGGAAAAAAAAAAATCGACTGAAGGTCTGAGGCAGATTCTGTTTCCTGAAAAGGGGGTAGGGGGGAAGTAAGCCTTAGGTCTGGAAGCGTGTAAGCCACTGGTCAGACCCAAGCTCCATCATGGAGCCCTCCGAACATGAGATGGCTCAGGGAACCATCCTGGAAATCTTGCTCTTCTAGGCGGGGTGGGGGTGGGGAAATTCCATGAGAAACCTGGAATTCCAGTGTAGTGTCTGACGTCAGAGATCTGGCTTGGGGAAGAGGGGGAACCTGGGGAGGGAATTCCTGGGGAGCGTCTGACGTCAGAAGTCTAGCTGGGCGGAGGGTGGGGAGGAGAGCTGGGGTGGGAATTCCTGGGGAACACCTGCAGTCAGAAGTCCCGCTTGAGGGCGGCCGCCGACGCTCCATGGATGCTGGACAGCTCCTGCTCCCTTCCAGTGGATGGGCAGGGGTGCGGCTGCAGCCGGGGCTGCGGCGCGGTAGCCGCTTCCGGGCTCCCCAGGACTCCGAGGCTGGCAGAACCCGGGGCTCTGAGAGAAGGCACTGTAGCTCCCGGGTGGCCCCCCGACAGCAGGGGCACAGCCTGGCTGCAAGTAGGCTGGCTGCGGCTGGCCCAGCGCCCAGGGCTCGCCCAGCAGGTAGAGCGGACGCTGGGGCAGGCAGCAGGGCAGTTCCGCTAAGGCGAGGGGCGATGGCGTAGGGGACTGCCCTGTCGGGGGCCCCGGGGGCTGCGGGACGCGGGGGCGGGGGCGCCGGCGGCGGCGACGACGATAATCGCCCTGGTCGAACATATCCTGGAAGGCCGGGTCCAGGGCCCACAGGTTGCCTTTGCGCTCTCCGGGGGCGCCGGGGCCGCCGTCCGGGGGAACCTTCACGAAGCACTCGTTGAGGCTGAGGTTGTGCCGGACGCTGTTCTGCCAGCCCTTCTGGTTGCGCTCGTAGTAGGGGAAGCGACCCACGATGTACCGGTAAATCCCACTCAGGGGCAGCCGCTGCTCAGGGCTCTCCTTGATGGCCATCGCGATCAGCGCTACATAGGAGTAGGGGGGCTTCTGCAGGGGGTCTGGCCCTGCCCGCCCGGCCAGCTCGGCTGCGCCTCTGCAGACTAGCGCCTCTGCAGAGGAAGTCCCGGAGGGCACGGGCTGGGCAGCGAAGTCCTGAGTAGCCATCGCCTACCTTCTGCGCTTCGTGGGCTCTCTGTAACGCGCGCCCCTGGACGGACCCGAAGGCCCGATGATCTACTCGCCTTTCTTCCTCTGGTCTAACCGCTGGCACCTTCCGCTTCCTACCCGGCCGCTGCCTCCCCTAGACCCAGACAGACTCAATTTGGTGTCTCAGGAGGGTCAGAGGGTCCAAGAATCAGACTCCAAATGATCCAATGTCCTCCCTTCCCCGAGTTTGAGTCGAGTGCAGGCCCAAGGACAGAGGATCAGCATGCATCCTCGAGTTAAAAGTTAAATTTGTCAGGCCTCTCTTACCAAAGGGAATGTATACACTCTAGAGAATGAATCAGTTAAAATGAGATTCTGTAAACCAAGCCCAATTCTCTCCCTGGTTTCCGTAATAAAGTTGGAGATGCGTTCCGGCCCCTGGTCTCGGCCTAACGCCCTTGACTTGTAGTCCACTGCGCTCACTTTGGCAGATTCAGGAAAACTGGAGAGTGGAGAGCCATCCCTATTCTCTGCCCCTATCCTTTACCCCTGAGCTGCCCACAAGTCACTTCTTCCTGCCTCAGTGTCTTTCCCTTCTCCCGCCCTATCCCCCAGCTCCTGCTCAGGACTGCCTCTCTGAGCCTCCCCACCAGCAGAGCAGTGCCTGCTACCAGAACCTCCTCCACTCTGCTTGTAGGCTATGAGTTGGAGGGAGGAGTTCTTGGCAGCTGGGAGGGACATCAGAGCTTAAAATTCTGCCTGCCGGGAGCAACCTTCCCCTCTATGCTCCTCAGGCTGGTTTTATTTTTAACCCTTAAGCCATACTACACTTGTATGTGTTTTCCCCACCTAACACTTGTGTCTGGCAGGAGCAAAATTTAGACAAAGTGAGAGACCTCTTTGGCATGAAAGGGAGAATGGTGGGGTGGGAGGAATAGAGAGTATTCTCTGATAAGAAAGCCTGACTCCTCCTCCTCCAGGCCAAGAGGCAGCTGGCCAGTGGCCACCCTCAGAGGAAACAGAGGCAGTTGTCCCCAGGGTCACTGGAGAGCTGGGAATCAGGCCAGAAATACAGCCCAGCTGCTTCAGCCCTGATCTACTCTCCTCTCTGTGTGGCTTAAAAAAATAACGGTAGCTGACATTTGTATAGATTTTAACGATGACAAAATATTTAATATACACACATCATTTCATTAAAGTTTACATGCGTGATCTCACTTGAACAGCATGATAACCTTGTGAGATTGATGCTAGGGGTTTTTTCTCTCCATTTTAGTGGTGAGAGAGGAAGTGGGGCACAGAGAATCCAGTACAACTGTTGAGTCCCGCCTGATCCATACTAGTGGGGTGACCTTGGGCACACAGGATTTCTCCGAGCTCTAGACAGCCCTCTGACCCTAGAAAGTTACAGAGAGCTGACTTGCATTTGGTAGAGTTTCCACATCCAGAAATTACCTAAACCAATAAAAACCAGGTCTTATCCCTTCAGAGATGAGGAAACTGAGTCTTAGAGAGAGAAGACTTGTCTATTCTCACATAGTGTCTGAGGTGGGATTTCCAATCTAGCTATCTCCTGATTCCAAGTCCAGGCCAGTACTTACTAAAAGACAGTGTTTCTCCATCATACAAGCCCTCTGGTCCCAGGGATAGCCGGGAGATTCCTCCAGTCTAGGCATGATTCCCTAACAAGACCCTCATCAGCTTCTAACAGTGTGAAGTTCCAGAGACAGTGTGGCATATGGACAGAGTGCTGGACTTGGGATAAAGAAAGCCTGGATTCCAACCTCACCTCTGACATCTAGTGGCTGTGTGAACATGAACCCCTTCCAATCTTGTCGGTTTTCTTAAACGTTATTCCCTTTTGCTCATCCTATGGTCCAACCACACTGTCCTACTTTCTTCTCCTCACCAGGGCTTCATCACCTGTCTCTGTGCCTTGGATTCTCTCCCTCCTCATCCCTCACCTCTTAGTGTCTCTGGTTTCCTTCAAGACTCAGCTCCAATATCTGGGAGGTATAGGAGGTCCCCAAGCATTTAGTGCTTTCTTATTTGAGGTTACCTTCCATATACTCATATACTATGTACCAATGTATACCATATACATTGGTACATAGCATCTTGTATATACCAATCAATGTTTGTGTTGTTTCTCCTGTTAGAATGTAAGCTGTTTGAGGACAAGCACAGGTTTTGCTTTTTCTTTGTGTTCCCCACCTCCCACATACAAAGCACTTAATAAATTTTCATCAGTTGATTTAACCTCTCTGAACCTTCATTTACCTATCTGTAATACTCATATTATAAATGTTTATATAGTATATACTTGTTATACATTTATAATATGTTATATATTATATAAATGGGACAGCTAAGTGGCACAGTGTATAGAATGCTGGGGCTGAAATCAGGAAGACTTCTTTCAAGAGTTCAAATCTGGCCTCAGACACTTACTAGCTGCATGCCCCTCAGCAAGTCACTTAACTCCTCTATTTGCCTCCATTCCTCATCTGTAAAATGAGCTCGACAAGGAAATGACAAACCACTCTGGTATCTTTGCCAAGAAAATCCCAAATGGGGTCCTGAAAAGTCAGATATGACTGAAACAACTGAATAACAAAATTATATAAATATATTTTGTATTTATAACGTATAATACATTTTATGTGTATATACAACATAATTATATGTGATTATATTATGTAATGATATACAAGAAGATTATATACAATTTAGTAATAACAATAGTAAGCATATAGCACTTTAAGGTTTGCAAAGCCCTTGACAAATTTTATTTGGTCCTCACAACAGCCCTGGGAGGTAGGTGCTATAATTATTCCCATTTCACAGATAAGTAAACTGAGGTAGAGAAAAGTTAAATGACTTGCTCAGGGTCACACAGCTATTGTGTGTCTGGGGCTGCATTTGAATTCAGGTCCTCTAGGCTCCAGGGCTCCGGCCACCTAGTGGCCTAAAACGAGGATGATAATCATTGTAGTCCTGGAGGCTTAAATTTTACTGGAAATAGACGTTCCAGCAAAGGGCGGGCTGAAGAAAGCCTTGGGCAGAGGAGACGCTAATGGGGATGTCCTGACTCCAGATGCAGGTTTCAGATCTGCGTCTCAATCTCTCCGGCAGCAAGACTGATCTCTTTCTCATAGCTCTCCCCACCCTGCTATTTCTGACTTCTCCCCACTTCCCAGCCCAACAGCATTCCAGCACCCCTCTCTCCCTCCTCCCTCCTCCAGGGCTCCATTCTCCTTAGTAAGAGGGTAGGACTCAGAGTTAGGAAGAACCTCAGACACATCTGGTCCAAACTACTCATATTACAGATGAAGAAATCAAGGCCCAAAGTCACACAGCGTAGTACCCCCGACTGTCTGAGCTGAGATTCGAACCTAGGTCTCCAGACTCCAAATTCCACCATCTTTCCACCTGCTTCTCAAACAGCATGTTGTTCCCATCTCTCTGATCCACAAAAAAGGAAGGATTATAAGTATCTTGAAGCAGTTTGGTGCCAGTGGGATGCAGACTTGGATTTAGAGTTGGAGCATCTGGGTTACAGTCCTAGCTTTGCCACTTACTGCCTATGTGACCTTGGGAAATTCACTTAACCTCTCTGGGCCTGCTTTCTTATCTGTAAAATGGGCATTAAAAAAAAACCCCCACAATCAACTACTTGCCCTAATTGACAGGGTTGTGGTGAGGAAATCCCTTTATAAACCTTAAAGTATGATACAAATGTGAGTTGTGATTATAACTATTATCTCTAATTTGAAGAGATTGGACTACCTTATGTCTCAAGTCCCTACCTAATCTTGGACTAGATATCATAGCAGTGAGGTGGAACAGTGAACAGAGTGCTGGGCCTGGAGTCAGGAGGACTTGAGTTCAAATGTGGTCTCAGGCACTTCCTTCATGTGTGACCTTGGGCAAGTCACTTAACATTTGTCTGCCTCAGTTCCCCCATCTATAAAATGAGGATCATGAGATCACCTTCCTTGTAGGGTTGTCGTCAAGATCAACTTAACTTTTTGTAAAAAGTGTTTAATGGGGATCATAATAGCACCTGCCTCTGTAAGGTTCTTGTTAAGATCAACTGAAATGATATTTGTAAAAAGTGCTTAGCATGGTGCCTGGTACAGAGTAGGTGCTAATGTAAATACTTCTATCTGCAAAATGAGGGAGGTTGCCCCCAGCTGATCTCTAGTCCCTTTCTACTCCATATCCTACTTCACCTCCATAAGTGTGTTTCCTTATCCATAAAATGGGGATAATAATCTTCAGCACCTTACAGAGCTGTCAGTCAATCACTGTTTTTATTAAGTACCTATTAGGTACCAGGTCCAGTGCTCAGCATTGACCTGAGGCAAGGGCTGCAGACACTATAGAAATATGAGTCCTCCTGCTCATTTTCATTAGGTTCCCAGATTTAGGCCTGGGATCAAAAACCAAGAAGTGACCTAGTAACACCCCTTGCTTTCATTTTACAGATGAAGAAACTGAGGCCCCAGATCAGGGAATTGACTGGCCCACAGATAGAGTCAGACATCTAGTAACTGTCAAAGGCCAGACTCAAAGAATGGCAAGAAAGAAGGTCTTCTGGACATAAGGAGGCAAGGGGGCAAAGGCAGAAAGAAGCAGGCAGTGAGTACAACCAGTCTAAGGTCTTTGTGCACTCTCTTGAACACACCTCTCTCTGGCTTGGCCCCCACTCAGCAGCACTGTTACCCCCCCCCCCCATTAATCTCTCCCCTGGGTGGGTTAACTAAATCACACACTTAGGAGTGGGCCTCCTGAAGTACCAACTCCCTCCAGGAACAAGGTAGTCTCATTAAGTCTCCAGCCTTGTAATTTGGGTTACAACTTGGCATCAGCACCTGCTGTTTTGTTCTACAAGGTGTGTGTATTGGGGGGCAGGAGGGGGGTGGGACTGCCAGGCCTGTGCTGATACTTGCCAGGAGAGCTGTCTGCAGTTCATTGGAACCTAACGTGTGCATTCCCTCCAAATTGTCAATAAA